CCCCAAAACCCCAAAACCCCAAAACCCCAAAACCCCGTGGCTTTTAGGTTAATAAAAATAACCATTACCATTATTAAATGTCGCGCATCCCATTCTACTTAAAATATGGTATTCCTGTTATGGGTTCCTTCTTTGTAGCCAAGAAGGTAGATTTAAGAAGCTTAGTTCCTTTTAAGCCCCGAACAGCTCATGCTGATACAGATTTGTTCCTAGATGAAGCTGTTCTTCCTGAATTCTCGATTGAATTGGAAGAATTGGGGGAATATCAAAGAAACAAGTATCAATTCTCTCTCAAGACTAGAGATCAACATCTTAAGGAAATGATGAGTGGTGAGGAATACGATATTGTTGTTATCGGAGCAGGAGCTAGCGGTGCTGGGGTCGCCCTTGATGCAGCAAGCAGAGGCCTGAGAGTAGCAGTAATTGATAAAAATGACTTTGGCTCAGCTACCTCCTCAAAATCTACGAAATTAGCGCATGGTGGGATTAGATACCTCGAACAAATGTTTAAAAGACAAGGTAATGTTAAGCAAAGTTACGCATTATTGAAGGAAGCATTAGCAGAGAGGAACTATTTCTTAGATTCAAATCCGTTCCAAAACACAGAAGTAAAGATTGTGATTCCTGACAAATCTTTCTTAAGCACAGTATTCTACAATTTCCCTGGCACACTAGTGTATCACTTGATTTATCTGATTAACTCAATGAATCATGAATCTCAGAGTTCTATTCACGGCCCAAAAGTTGTGTCTCCGTGGGGAATCAGGAAGTTGTTTCCTAAGATCGAAATGATCAAGAAGTATTGGGGAACCATGATGCATGAGGGTCAGTTCGTAGACACTAGACAAGCCCTGAACTGTCTCCTTACATCAACTATTGACAAATACGACCCAGGCTTCAGAGGGTCGAATATCGCAAATTATGTGAGTTTTAAAGATTTTGTCAAGGATAAAAATGGCAAAATTACTGGTGTCCGAGTCTGTGATGACCTCAATCAAACATGATTTGAGATGAAGACTAGATGAGTGATCAACTGTACAGGAGTTTTTGCAGATCAAATCAGAATTAAAGACAACCCTGATGCAAAGATGAGGATGTGTGCTAGCAGAGGTAGGTAATTTCGTAACAAAGTCTAGGAACCCATGTCGTGTTGAAAAATGACTGCCTTCCTAAAGATACAGGAATTATTCTGAATGACACCTCAGATGGCAGACTGATATTTATTCTTCCTTACCAAGATCATATGCTTATTGGTACAACCGATGATATGCAAGAGGTTGCTGAATATCCAAGAGCAGCAGAGGCAGATGTCGAGTTTATTAAGAATGAAGTCCAAAGAATATTCGGAGATGAATTCGACTTTGATAGCCACCTCAAGTCTAAATTTGCTGGGTTAAGGCCTCTCTGTCTAGAGACTCCAATTCCTCAGGAAGAATATGAAGAAAAAGTAAAGACTCTCAAGTCTAAAGATTTATGCAGGAGTCATATAATCGATGTCTCCGATAGCGGACTGATCTCTCTTCTCGGGGGAAAATGGACTTCATACAGAGTCATGGGAGAAGAGACTGTAAGTAAGGCAATCACAACTCACCACTTGAATAACATTATTAATGAGGAGAGCAAAGTGAGCAAGCTCAAGCTTCTTGGATGTTATTCTAAGCTGGAACTGAGAGACAATATGGCTTTGGGACCACAAGAAGTTGCTACAAAATACAAAAACCAACTACTTTTCTTGCAAGATATCCCTGTTGATATATCAGAAAGGCTCATTGAGAATTATGGACCAGGCCGTAAGTACTACATTGCCTAACTGTCTATAGCAAGTCTAAGAATCATTGAAAAAGGTAATAGACATAATCATTTATTAGGTGGCCAAACTCCAGCTTTTGGAATCAAGCAGGATAAGAACAAAGAGTTCAAAGGAGCTAATGTGAGAATCCATCCTGACTTCCCTATTCTTGAGTCTGAATTATATCATCATATGGACAATGAGATGGCTGTGAGACCAGATGATATTATTAACAGAAGACTAGGGTTATCCTTTGTAGATCAAAAGGTAAGATCTCAATAAACCCTTCTTTAGGCTGCAGATGAAGTTTCCCAAAAAGTCGTTGACATTATGGCATCCCATCTAAAGTGGAGCTCAAGCAAGAAAAAAGAGGAACTTGAAAGAGTCAAGGAGAGAATTGATATCTTGTAAAATCTACATGAGTTCATCTTCAATTAAATTTTTATTCCTTGGGGTTTTGGGGTTTTGGGGTTTTGGGGTTTTGGGGTTTTGGGGTTTTGGGG